GTTCCAGCCGGTCAAGGTCTGAAAGCTAAAATTTCAGTAACAAGATGAGAACAGAGCAAAACCCAAAACATTCAGCAACAGGCCTTTTATTTTCCCCCAAACTGCTACATTACAATCCCCATCCAAAAAGATCACCCTTTTAAAACAAACTTTACTGAAAATCTCAGCACTGTGAGAAAGCTGCTGCTTTTTTTAAGGTTGATCTATGTTCTGACGGGAGCACGTCGCAAAGGTAAACCCAGTGAAACTTCCTGCAGACAGTCATGCTGCATCACTGCTTACAACAGAGCTCTCTCCTCTGCTTAGCGTCCCAGTATCTGAGAGATTAGCAACAACCTATTTTTATATTGCACCCACATGAGGGAGGAAACACTGAGGCAGCTAGTGTTTGACCACCTGCAGGTGCCGTGTTTCAGAAAGATGAGACTGTTTTCAAGCCGGCTGAAAAAAATAAAGCCGCACTGCTACATCTGGCCTAGGAGCAGTAAGTAGTCCATAAAAAGAGAATTTTACTGACTGCTCTGAAGTTGCATAAAACGGCACTGCACTGTTGATTTGGAAAATAGGAACTGCTGCACAGCAATTCATTTGAAATGTATTTATAATCTAAATGATCTTCATGTCTTAAATAGTATTTGTATTTAAAGCCATATTTTCCAAGACTGGGGGACAGGTGGACACACTTTTATCACTCTTTGTACGTTTGTACACATCTGTGCAGAGGGGCACAGGGACGAGCGGGCTCCAGACAGGGCAGGAGCCTGATCAACCCCCCCCAGCCAGTATCGCTGAGCTGGATGAAACTCGCTCCATTGTGGCCCCAACTTGCAGAGCACACAACGGTCTCCTTGGTTAGCAGCCTGCTCATCAGAGGACTTCTTCCAAAGCAAGGCTTTTATTATTATTAAAAAGCACGCATGCGTTGTGCCACGTTATCTTTTTTAAGCCAAGTAATTTCTCTCTCATTGAAAACCAGAACATGCACATTGTCAATTTATTTCAATCTTTGTGTTATTCTGTATCTCAGGAAAGGCTATTAGTAACGCTGCATTGAAATACGATGAATAAATGGTACGGAAAAAGCCACATCCATTCTGTCTAGTCTGTGTATTACAGGACTTCCAGGGCAAGAAAAGGCTCTCGACTCCCATGCAGTAGTGCCCTCTGCGGGATGTACCAATCCTAGTGCAGAGGCTTCCAAATCCCTTGTTACTACCCCAGGAAGAAAGGCTCAGGTATCAACTCTTCAGGCAGAGCCCTTGATTTTGAACTCGATTACAAATTCCAACTTTTCTTGTTTATGCACATGGCCACGCAATCACCACTTCAGCTGTCCCGAACTCCGGTTTGGATTACAACACCCTCCTCCCACTTCTGCATTTAACCAAGCTTGTAGCCGCTGCCAGCAAAAGGGTAAACTGCGACTACTGGCAAGATCTAGTAAATGGGTATCACGACAAGATAATCGACTGGCCACCTCTTCTCTCTAAACGTACTACTGAGAACTAACTACAAAGGTAACCTAGCCTCAAATTTAACGTAAACTTATATACTGCAATTTGCTTGATGTTGTATTTCTTAGGATACATGTAGCACCGCCTCTTAAAAAAGTTTACTTTTTACTAAATGTAAATGTACTACTAAATGAAGGCAGTATCTAACCATTCTGTGAGAATTTCCTAAACAGAATGTCAACTTCACCAGATGCTGAAGAAGCAACAAAACGATTGCCAGAGGGGAAGGCAACATCACTTTTAAGAACACTGCAGCGTAGTTTTCAGTACTTCAAGGTACTACATGGAGTGTGGCAGGACGGTATTCATGTTATTAAAGCAAATCAACTCCCATTACTAAAGCACGTGAGAGAGGGAGGGTAATCATTGTAAAAGATTTTACTAACTGAGAAAAGATCAACCGTATGAGCAAGAAAAACTTTAAAACGTACAACTTGGCAGTATTTTGCAAATATAAAGTGGAATTTTATGAACAAAAGGAGCAAAAAGGCTTTTGATTTCAACAGATTAGCAATGTAATTCTCAAATATATTGCGTGAATTAATAGTAACAAATGGGGCTCCCATTTTTGCTTTGGTCAGAGCCCTCCCAAGGCCAGAGGAACAGAGCCAGACTGCATGTGTGCTATGCTCCCAGAAAAAACAATCCACAAGGAACCACTGCTGTTAAGTATTAAGCAGAATTTTTACACTGGAAGTTATTCAGGCTCTTTCAATCCATCAGACTTTGTTTTTTTAAACAAAACTCAGTTTACATGGATACAATAAATAGTTTATTAACGGAATGTATCAGAGTTTCTCTCTCGCATCCTTCCTCTTACTCTCAGCACCTTATACACAGATGTCAAAGCAGCTTCTAGTCCAAGACAACAACAAAAGTTAATTTCAAGGCAAAACGAAGAGAGGTTGAAAGTTAAGACTGGCACCTTTGAGTGCCTAGTTCCTCAAGTGTTTGACTGGTTCCCCAAACCTACAGGCAAATTGGTGTTTCTTCTTTCCACACCTTGATCTACCTGCTTCTTCCCGACTTGTGCTCATTTAAGCTCTTCTTAGGCAGGTCACATGCTCCATGGGGACAGTATGAAGTCATGCCTGCTCTAATGCTCTTTCAGCTATTGCAATATCCCTTTATTATTTTATTTAAAAGCCCTACTGTTATTATGCCATCTCCTTCTGATCTTTCATAATAGTTCAGTTTACCTTTGGAATTTTATAAAAATGGAAAGAGCCTTTTTTTCAAAATATAGAGCACCGTGGCCAGGAATAAGGCAAGGGCGAGAAAGATTAGCAGCTTGTCCGTCAGTTCCCTGCGATTGTACTTTGTTATTAGCTTTCGCCCCAGCTGAATTGTCCCAGACATGGACTTAAATTCTTCATTTGCTTCCAGGATGGTTCGTGAAGAATTGGCTGAAATTAAGGGAAAAAAAAAAATTCAGCTGGTTGCGCTTCAAGAATACACGACAAAGGACGTAAGCATGCAATATTTGGCAATACACAGTGCCTGTGGGATCCTCCTGGGTCAGACTGACTTATGGGTAAGACAAATGCAGACTGTGTTCTTGCAGAAGCTTTCACAACTCCGTAGTCGTGATGTGCTAAGGAAAAACTCAAAGCAAAATAAGAGTACTGAATGGCTTAAAGGCCCTACGTCCTGTTCCTGAATTTTTAATTTTTAGATTACCAGATCAAATCTAGTTCACATTTTTTATGAACGAAGTCAGTGCTACCTGAGGGCTCGCTGGAAGCAGAGTGAAATAAGAATGGTGCTAGAACCACCAATTTAAGAGAGAGAAATCACCATCACTATCAGCATCAGTTCTAGCAGCAGAAGGACAGGTCAGTATTTGAATATATTAATTGCACAGCTAAACTGTTCCCCCAAGCCAGAGCAGTAAATCAGTGTGATTCAGATAGGGTTGCAGAAAGTGAAAAAGCAGCATGCAGCAGTAAGAGATCCTTAACTATGCAGTTCAAACAATTTAAGCAGTTTTTAATAGTTATTTTTGACAAACATAATTATTTTGGGTTTTTTTCGTAATAAAAAAGAGAAAGTCAACTAGAGGAAAATTGATCAGTCTCAACAAGCTGGAACATCGGTCCCTTTCAACTTCTCCTTCCCTGTGAGAAAACAAACAAGCAAACAAACAAATAAAGGCCCCAAACTCCTCAGCCTTCCTTCTTTCAAATTACTAAATGAAAGCAAAAGCCCAGGAGTCCCCTTTTTCTTATATTACAGAATGCATACCCTGTACGACAGTGAATGCTGGTATATCACTCTATACTGAACTGATTTGATTAAAGAAAGGTCAAGCTCCAAGCATGTTGTCTGGTTCACAAAAAGAAGCATAGTAGAAATAAGTCTGTAATATTTTGCAAACCATTACATCCCATCTTAAAGAGGCATTTTGAGCCAAGCGAAAATAGAAAATTTGTTTCCCATTGTTAATGACGAAGCAGAGCTTCCCCACTTCACAGCCACATATATTCACTGCATACTAGGAAAGGACTTGCTCAGAAAAAAGGAAATTCTAACTACTGATTCAGAATTTGCAGCTGGGGTTTGTAAATGACCTTTGATAGTTTTTCCCTTGATGAACTCCAAGGGCTGTTCAGTCAGAAACAGGGTGAAAAAGTGTCTGTCAAACTGTCTTTTTAATGGGAGAAGAAACATGCTACTTTTGCATGAACGAACTATGCCCAGCTGCCATCCTCAGACGGGGGCAGAAAACAAGGAGGGCAAAAGTTGTGTTATTTATCCTCATCTTTAAACTGTTCTCCCTTCTGCTCAAAAGCACAGCTAGTAAGAGGCCCAGGCAACACAGATCCAACTTCTAAATGCTTCATGAATCACCAGTTCTGACAGGTCACTTGATTTATTGTCTTAGGAGTCTAAGCCAAAGAACTGGGTGAAATCTTGGTTTCACAGTCCCTGATGCACTGCTGACAGAGCAAGTGACCTTGGGTTCAAGTCACTTGATCTCCTCGTCTCTTAGTCATCCCAGCTGGAGACTGGGTGAAAACAGTCTTCCAGCCATACTAAGTTTCCTCTGTGTATGGACTTGTACCTACGCTTTTATTTTCTCTGCTATTATCAAATGCAAGCCAAGACAGCAGCACAGAGTAACACCAAACACGCTCTTAGCACCGTGTGAACTCACATTGCTTTTACAATTGCTTTTCTATGAAGCTAAAACAAGAGCTCCTCATTCATCCTGCCCTCTTTTCCTTGTTTAGTCACGATCATGAAACAGAAACTCTAGCAAACAGCTCCACACAATGTACATTATTATTTTCTATTTATATCCAACTGTTAGAGGAGTTCTGCTGGACGGTCCTTTAGTTATCATTGGAGTAAGTTCTCCTACAGCACAGCAGGTTTCCACTATGCTCCAAACCATGTCAGTTTGCCTCTCCACATCCTAATAGAACTGGTGAAAGGTGCTTTACTCATCCAGTCCATACCCAAACACTGAAATAACATCTGTACCTAGGGTTTGCACGGTCTCCTCACTCTGCTGGACTTGCTGTGACATCATCCTGCTAATGCCCATCAGACTCTCCGTGATGTTACCCGCACTCTCTGCCAGACTTTCCTTTGTAGTCTTCCTGAAAAAAGAAAGGGAAAAAGTAAAGCAGGTAGGGATAAAATTATGTCTTTGGGTACTGTGGAGAAAATGCTGCTGCCAGGGAGCTTAGAACAGAGCTTGGCACCAAACATCTCTGCCAATGTACAAAAGACACAGTTTTTACTGCATGAGGAATTCAGTCCATCTTCACTAAAAAATAATAAAAAATAAATCACAAAATATTAATGAGCCAAAGCAACTGTTAGTGGCTCAGAATCTCACGGGGGCCCATATTTCACCATTTATTCATCCATGAGTGTACAACTTCATGAGCTGGTATGGAAGCACTGATACAAACTACCACTTTATTATCCTGGGTATCCCATTCGTTGCTTCATGATACTAAATATGCCAACTTTTCAATACAGAAGTTATATAAGCTTACATCCAGTTTTGCACGTGAAAACAGCTTGCATAGTGATCCATCACTTGTTTATAACCCTGATTGGAATTAATGTAAAAGACAGTCAGAAAAACTATGAAGGCTAACTTATCCCCTTTTCTGCTTAGACATGCCAACGCCAAGAAAACCTGAAATTATCACAATCCTTAACAGGTTAAAACTCCACAAAAGGTAGATGCACTCATGAAAGAAAAGCTATGTTCCAGATACAATTAAGTAACCTAAAAACATTACATCACTTCCATTTAAAACTAGTGAATATAGCATACACTGTTTAAATCTCGGATCGTACAGTGGGATGGTCTAATACCTTTGTCTTAAGGAGTCTCTTCCCTGCAGCAGTTGATCTTTCTCAGAGTTGTCAATAGCAATTTTGCAAGCTAGATTTGCCTTTCTCCAAGCTGTCTGATTGCTGAAATCACAAGAGTACAATGTTGTAACATGATGGCAACACCTTGCAAGTAAAAACAATTTTCACAAAGCAATCACCACTGTAACTGAGCACCCCAGATACGTGCATGGACTTTCTCCATATTACGCCACAGAATCACAACATACTGTCCTGTCATTTATTCTCCTAAGCGTATCATTTATGGAGCAAGGGAAGAAGAAAACTGTGCCAGCTGTCAAGTGACAGACTCTCACCAGCTGTCAAGTGACAGAGTCTCAAGCCACCTTCTTACATGCTCAACTGCTCAAAGGGACAGACCACGGTTAGGGAGTCAGGACAGGAGAGAGGAAAGGAGAAGGGAGTCCTACCCTTTCCATCCCTGATTCTCTCTTGGCCTTGGGCAACACAGCATCATGTCAGCGACCGTATTTGCAAAACAGGATCCGAAAGATGCTGTACAGAAGTCAGATTATTTCTGGTTGCAGGGGACCTGTAAACAGCACCGGCTGCCCGACCCACCTGAGCATTTGTTTCTTATGGTTTTCCACTTCCCGCAGCAAGGCTTGTTTCTCCGACTCTTTATCTTGCTCCTTCGCCATCTGTTCGAGCTCCTTTGACGGAAAGCAGAAACACGAAAATCTGATCAACAACTGCTGCCACCTGCAACTCGCAGACCCCACCCCCGGCCAGGGAGTGAATTAACAGCAGATTGATCCGATAAACTAGCACCCCACAGCCGGGACTCCCAACCGCCCCACCTCACGCCAGCCGCCCCCC